ATCATTATTGAAATACATGTAGATATACTAGCTAAAAAGAATTCTCTTTCTGAATGTTATTACCCAAGTGTAAAGAGTTATCGTTCTTTGTACAAATATGTATGATACGAAAAAATAAAAATATGGCATTTCTCTAAATTTTTAAAAAGTTTTATTATACAATTAAATACATTGACCAAAATTGAATTTTTAAAGCTATAAATCAGCAGTTTTAAATATTCTGAATTTAGTTTTTTTCAAAGAATATTTTTGAAAACTTATATTGAATCCTCTTACAAAATATTTCATATATATACTTCTCAACACGTATGATAATTCTAGTAGAGTTTGTTCTACACGAGTATGATAGAGTAATTGCACTCATAGCAGAAGCAATTGCATCTATAGTACTGTGAACTCAGGTGGAGTCTGCATGTTCATGGTGGGAGAAAGCAATGGATATGCAAATATAGGATCATCAACCTTCACCGTTCAGCCAACTGAAAAGTTTGGATAAATCACTGAGTGGTAGAGTATTGCCAGTCAGTCCTGTTTCCGAAGACTTGCAGTAATTTTTCAGTTAATAGAATGACAGTTTCCTCCTGTAGTACTAGAACATTAAATGGGATTTTTGAAATTTAATTTTTTTCTACATATTGCGGAAACTTGATACCTTATTAAAACCTTTTGCGCAAGTATACAAGAACATTGCGTTAGACTTAGAAACATTATGTTCAGTCTGAATTTATTTGTTCTCTATAGTATCTGCTATAAACTGTGATCTCGTTTTAGAAACCACTGACTTCAAACAAGGCGGCGTCCTAGTCGTCCCGCACAGCAGTATAAAATCCAGCATTGCTCACACTCTGAATGGAAAAATGGATGTTCCTCTGACAGGACTTCATCACGTGACCACAGATTTCAAAGATGGCTGGAAAATGAATATCAACGAAGTGACTGTACAGCACGTGAGTTACGCATAATATAATACATTATTGAGCGTGACTACCAATTATCTGCCTGAGTCATTTACAGAAATTTATCAATAAGAAATGTTTATTAAAAATCGATTAGTTAAATTCTTACATGTAGGTGTTTTGGTTATATGGATTTATTGAGACTAAATTCTCTTTTGCAGTTTTATATTATTTTACTTCTAGCTATAAGCACTTAATATGAGCAATAAACCCTAATTGTATAGTTATATCTGCTCTGTTAGGAAGATGTGCCTTATCCAATTCACAGCTTTAATCACTAATCAACTTCAATTTTATTATTTGAATTTGTGTCTTTTAACACACAAACACATGCGCATATTACAAAAAAAAAAAAATAAAAATAACAAAATTAAATGATCACGTGGTCTTTATTTCAGCCTCTTTTTGACGTCCTTGTCCACAGTAAGCCAATCAAGGTGGTCATACCGTTTGACAGCTCTGCAGATTTGAATGATGTTACAAAGCATGTTACAGATGTTGTGTCGAAGGTCATCATGAAGGTACATTTATGTTATAAAAAGAATTACATATATTGTTGTAAATATGGAATTTTCAGGTTGAAGGTAATGTCAAAGTTAGATAACATTTGAAGAATTGCTCGATGATTTTAACTAAGAAACTAAAAATTTACCTTTGGAAAAGACATTTTTTTTTATTTTATGGAATTTTGATCTTTATTTAGGTAAAATATTTAAGTGGTGTTATTGTCAATGTTACATTTCTTCTAACTTTGTTGATATATTGAAAATAATCAATTACCTATTTGTTCTTTTTTATCTTAAGGAACCAGAACACCCTTTTATGGAAGTAGGCAAATTTCACAGTCCCTTTGATGGGAAGGTGAGGAGTGGAGACCAATTTATGGACGTCAGATTTGTTTTAGACCACAAATTAGATCTGGAAAATTCTGTCTTAGAGTAAGTCACCAACTGTCTCTTTGCAAAGTGTGCTAAAAGTATTAACACTCACATACCATGCAGTGTTACAGTAATGAAATACTCCATACCCTTGTCCAAAATCTGAGAACATATGTCAAAGTACATCATTTTTTCTCAGTTTTATTTCAGAAACTTGCTATAAAAATTGCAGTTTTCCACATTCAAATTAAGCGGATGATGAAAATCATTTTTTACTTCCATAATCATTTCCAAACTTGTTCTTATTTAAAATAGTCTAAAATTTTGTCCTAGGGCACATATACAATGACAAGCACGTTGTCATACAAAAGAATTTCAATGAAAGAGAGGAATAATGAATATATTTGAATACAACCCTGTACATAATAACCTGTATAATATTTTATGGAATCACTTTTTTCATTGGGTTAGTTTTTTTAGCTCACCTGAGCCGAAGGCTCAAGTGAGCTTTTCTGATCACATTTTGTCCGTCGTCCGTCCGTCCGTCTGTCTGTCTGTCTGTCTGTCTGTCTGTCCATCTGTCCGTCTGTAAACTTTTCACATTTTCCACTTCTGCTCAAGAACCACTTGGCCAATTTTGACCAAACTTAGTACAAAGCATCCTTGGGTTAAGGGGAATTTAAATTGTTAAAATGAAGGGACATATCCCCTCGCAAGGGGAGATAATCAAGAAAAGACAAAAATAGGGTGGGGTCATTAAAAAATCTTGTTCTCAAGAACCACTGGGCCAGAAAAGCTGAAACTTATGTGAAAGCATCCTAGGGTAGTGTAGATATTAAATTGTTCAAATCATGACCCCCGGGGGAAGGGCGGGGCCACAATGGGGAATCAAAGTTTTACATAGAAATATATAGGAAAAATCTTGGAAAATCTTCTTCTCAAGAACTACTGGGCCAGAAAAGTTGAAACTTATGTGAAAGCATCCTAGGGTAGTGTAGATATTAAATTGTTCAAATCATGACCCCCGGGGGAAGGGCGGGGCCACAATGGGGAATCAAAGTTTTACATAGAAATATATAGGAAAAATCTTGGAAAATCTTCTTCTCAAGAACTACTGGGCCAGAAAAGCTGAAACTTATGTGAAAGCATCCTAGGGTAGTGTAGATATGAAATTGTTCAAATCATGACCCCCGGGGGAAGGGCAGGGCCACAATGGGGAATCAAAGATTTACATAGAAATATATAGGAAAAATCTTGGAAAATCTTCTTCTCAAGAACTACTGGGCCAGAAAAGCTGAAACTTATGTGGAAGCATTCTAGGGTAGTGTAGATTCTAAATTGTAAAAATCATGACCCCCGGGGGAAGGGTGGGGCCACAATGGGGAATCAAAGTTTTACATAGAAATTTATAGGAAAAATCTTGGAAAATCTTCTTCTCAAGAACCACTGGGCCAGAAAAGTTGAAACTTATGTGGAAGCATTCTTGGGTAGTGTAGATTCTAAATTGTTCAAATCATGACCCCCGGGGAAAGAGCGAGGCCACAATGGGGAATCAAAGTTTTACATAGAAATATATAGGAAAAATCTTTGAAAATCTTCTTCTCAAGAACCACTGGGCCAGAAAAGCTGAAACTTATTTGCACATGGAAGGATCCTGGGGTAGTTGATTTCAAAATGTCTTAATTATGATCAGTGGGGTAGGGTGGGGATACATAATGTATTACAAGGTGGAAATCTGGTAAAGAACAGAATGGTCAAAGCTCCTCAGGTGAGCGATGTGGCCCATGGGCCTCTTGTTTGATTTTGGTTTTGTTTAAAGAAATAATTTTAGATTCTTATGGGTTTTTATTCGTGGTTGAAAAATTGAGTACAATATTTTCAACTGTTAGAAAGTGGTATTTATTTATTTTACGAAAATTAAACCTAAATGAAAACATTAAGTAAACTAAACTGTGTACAACAATGTACATATAAAATAATATGAAATTATCTGAAACTACACATAATATTATGTCTATTCTAAATCTATTTATGTTTTTTAGTGGAAACCACATTCATTTTTTTTCCACTGAAGATATCTTCAAAGAAGTTTTGTTGTCTTTGTAAACTAAATTATAGACATACTTAACTCTTTAACTACAGCAGCTGTAAGTTGTCATATAAATATATACAGAGACTTAAATGTTCTTTTTAAATGTACATCTGGAAGATAGATTTTAAAGTGGGTTTTTGTTTGATAGAAATTGGCCAGTAATAGAAGCAGAGAAAGAGGTGGACGGCTGCTTTCTGTCCAGAACATTTTTTACGAAGTCTCATCCTTACTTTGAAGTTCAGTTCATCAAAAAAGGTTTGGGTTTTCCTTTTATATTTACAATTATCTTAAGTTTAATATAAATAAAAAAGTCAAAGAAAAAGTTTCGTACTTTGGTAAAAAATAAATAAAATTTTTGGGCGAAATTTTTTTTTAATAAGACCGGTTTGAATTTATTGGCACACTAAGACACACTTATTGTCTTGTAAAGATTTCATGTAAATCAGTAGGTCAAAAGCTGTCTGACATTTTTTGTACCAATTGTTGGACCATTATCTACACATTGTTATTTCTACTGATTTTTTTTCACCTGATCATGGTAGGGAGCACAAGATACTTATCTCCAAATTTCTTGTTTCCATTTTTTCTAGAAAATACAGTCTTTACTTTCTCGGAAGTAGAACGACCAGATGAACTGTTAATTGGTTGCGTCAGAGATTATTACTACGCCAAAATGTTTGCTAAACCAGGAAATTACTATAATCGCATATCTGGAACAGAAGCAAAAAATGTGATGGTGCACAGGTAAAGCAAGAATTGTCTTTAGAACTCTTTTTTACATGTAACACACAATTGGGAGATTGGGATTGTGGGATTGAGATATACATTATGTATAATCCTAAGGATAAAAGGAATTTATGGAGAAAATTCATAATAATGGGACTAATAATGTTCAGACTGTTTGGCAGGAAAGTTATGATTCGCCAATATCCTTATTTGGCACTGAAATTTGGATGAATATAATAATGATGACACTTAATGGATATTGTGGTAATTGCAATTGGCTCGATATATTTAAAGTTTTATTACATAATTATGAATTAATTTATCTAAGGTTTTCACTGAAAAATGTGA